AGTTGATGATCACGCTGTACATAGATGGAAGTACGGAATTAATAACGTACAAGTGTAGCTATATAAAGATCTGGATTGCTCATTGGACCACAGGATGGCTGCTTGGGCCGCAACATAAGGACTTGACGAGGTAAAATTGACTCCGATTGGTACGCCTGATTATGGGCTTATGACCCCAATTGGGCTGGAGTGAGGGCTTGATTGGCAGGTGTCGCAACAATGGCATCACGGAGACGAGGGGGAGGGTGGGCTAGACGACCAATCTTCATTTCGAACAAGAATCGCCCCTATGTTTCGTGTCCGTTTATTTAACTCGTTCGCTGTGAAAATTTGCGTTTAATAGAGCACGAAACTTAAAATTGTTGCGAGCAAAATAGATGTAGCAAAATTGTGCCAATTAAGTGCTGATTTCTAACTGAAAAAATTTCGCGTGTAGTTGCGAATTACTGGGTTAAAATAGTGCATTCGGTTATACCCACTACCGGTAACTATCGTATACAGGAGTCGGGAATTTTATTTTGATGGTTTGTATGGAGGTTTGTAATGGGTCCTATACATGTATATGCGTGGCTAGGACGTTATTTTTCTTCGTTCGGTCAACGTTCTTCTCTGTTACGCTGCTGTTCCCATTTTGTTTGTATTACAGAAAAAAATTCGTCCTAGAATTCGTTAAATCGCCCTTATGATTCGCTGCCCCTTTATAAAAACAACGCAATGCTAAGATTGTTTTAAAAGTAGCTTTATATTTATTGAGGGTTGTAAGCAACAGGACTAAACTACGGAGGTCTTTGAAGCTAGTCGTTGTGTGTAGTCGCGTATCGCGCCGTAATTACCAAGGGGTCAGGCCAAACGAAATGCTCGAGCCGCAAAGCCTCGTCTCACCGTTCCTAATTGGTGGTAGGTGTCGTTTTTTCGTGGAGCTCTGCGCCGCAATTCCACCGCCACTCAATGACACTAATTGTTGAGAGCACAGCGAGAAGCCCCCGACTCAATAATTACGACGGCCCATGTCTTCACGAACCCGCCTCACTGGCCATTAGCGCATGCGTGCCCTTAGCATCTTGTACACATTCTCACCAGGCACACTTTGTTCAAAGCAGCTTGCAGCTCTTTCACTCATATCCGCTTGATCTCATCACACGCTCCGGCTTTTGTTCGCCTGTGAACTATGTTATATAATTCGGCGCGTATAGTTCCTAGTCATTTACAACATTTTTTTGTGACACCTTCAGGATAGAAAACACAACGTTTCTGCTTATACTCGTACATTTATTTACCTGGACCAATGATATTTGATGTTGATTTCTGTAACGTAGGTTGCCCCCAATATATAGTTCACATTTTCTGATGCTCTGCCCTTTATGTCTCACTCAGTAATGAAAATTTTCTCAAAATCCTCCATCAAGACAATGCATACGAGGACTATAATTGCCAGTTTACAACAGAAAATTCATCCCCGATCTCGGGGATGAATATGGATAAATATTGTCCATATTTATGCTAGATCCTGGCTGACATGCCTGAGCCGCAAACCCGTCATCGGAGTTGGCAACGTCGGCGTGTCGGGCGATGCCGGCCATCTCGAGCTCGCAGATTACACACGAATTACGTCGGATTGAATAGGAATTAGTCTTACGAGTTGATGAGCCTTGATAATTGATTCCACCTTTCTTGCACAAACATCACTTAACATTGCAAATCGTTTCCATATTTCGGGCTCCAAAGTCTTCTCTTAGTCTTAGTGCACCTCGGTTTACTAATGCAGTTTTGTCTTCAGTTTTTATTGACTCTTTCAACGAGCCATAATAACGACTGTAAAGAAAACATTTCTACCGTGCAGCGTCGGATGGTGTGAATATATCTGTATTCAAGTTCTGCAACTCTGACGATACAATTTCTTAGTGCCTTAGTTCTTGCTGACGATCAATATCATTAATCCATCCATCAAACCAGTTTAATTTATCAGTCGTATACCTCGTTATTGTCTCGTGAATTAACTATGAGTGCTTATTTCAAAATCAATTTGAAATTGTGGTAAATTTTTCAGCTCGTTACTGTCAAGTTTCTCGTGATGAGAGTGATGAGTTTCTTAGCTTGATTGCGGCAACACCTGTTTTTTCGTCAGAATACTTATTAAACTCTTTTAATAAAAATAATTAATTATTGCTTTAAATCATCGAAATTCATGCACTTACTTAGTCATATTTATAATTTTTAATTGATGAATTACTGTTTATAATCATAAATGTGATTGCACACTCGGCCCGGCTGTGTTTGCCATGGAAACCAACCATCGTTATTTTGCTTGGTCGTTCGTGGAACACATTCTCGTATATGCACGTATATGCACTGTTCTCGTATATGCACGAGACGGGTCGTACAGCAACCCTCTTACTGAACCATAACCGAAATTAATTCAAAAGCATAATAGGATAATAACAATTTTCTAATTAGATAGTTCTGCATGACCCGGTAACAAAGAAAAACGTGTAATTATAACGTTGAAATAGGATTCAAGTATTTGTAACCAGAAATATCGTTGTCATGATAATTTAGAGCAAAAATTAATCGTTGCTGAGAAGGCGTTGGTTGAATATTACTAGTTCGCTCAGCTTGTGACTAAAATTATGCCTCTATATTGCAAGAAAATAAGATTAGTTGCAAGTATGACTAAGCGTTTTCGTTTTGGTAGCCTTGCAGTGTTCAAAGATATCTGGAAATAAATTCCTTGTTCTAATATAGTTCCATCAAGACATGAACTTCATTCAAAATTATTTTCAGATTGCCATCATAGTTGTGGGAAGTCGATGAAGACGTCTCTCTATTGTGTACACATAAAATAATGGAAACAATTGGTGGTCAACCGCATGTTCATGCGCCAGAATTTTTCCTGAGCTGCATACTTAAGACTTTCGCCGGAACGAAATCTGCCTTTAATCTCACGAGTCCTTATGCAAATCCTCTTTATTTTGATTAGCTCCAACAATCGAAAATTTACGGCAAGTCGACTTAGGTAATTGATCCTTCGTCAGGGAGGTCTGGCAGAGCTTAAACTTCTGCGAACATCCTAAGATGGTTTTGTGTACAAGACTCGAAGAATTTCAAAATTATTATCGTGTACAAGAGCGGAATCGATAGGTTATTTGTATCGGAGAGTTCACAAATGATTGATATGATCAATCATTTTTCCTGCCGAATCTAACTTTATGCATTCAACATTGATTTATGAGCTCATATTAGCGCATTGTAGTGACCTTTTCCTGTTAAGCCTACCTCATGTTGGACAGAATTAGTGTTGCTGCAGAGGCCTGCTCTTGGTAAACAATTTGTTCAGTTGCCAGACGTGTTTACAACTTGACAGGTGACGCTTCACATTCTCACCACACATCGCACACGCGTTCTAAAACCTCCAGCTAGGAACATTATTTGCCGCTAATATGTGTGCTTTGTAATCTTATTTGGTATACTATTTCATCTTGTTAAGTTCTTAGCGTTTTGTACCGTTCGATTCGGTTTGGTTTCTAGAGGTTTCATTTCCCTTAATATTTTTTTCTTAATATATACATGACTGCTAGAAAGAGTTCATGAAGTCAATTATGAGTTGATGAGTAAAGAGCGATAGAGAATGCGATATTCATGCATGCTATGTAGAACCTTTTCACCTCGTGAAAAAAAATGCAGTGCTTGTTTATTAGTATCATTAATTCTGTTAGCTGCGCGGTGCTTTGTTTGCAGTGAGCTCATTAAAGAAAGTTAATCGATCCTCTAGTGAGATTTTTCAATAGTGAAGTGCACAGTTCACCGCACGACCACGTTAGCATTAATGTCCAGTAGCATTGTACGTGTGCCTCCTGAGAAATGATGTATCGACTGTACTCACTGTAGTCTGTTGACTTGAGGAAATTGCTGTTTCTAGCAATTAGAATTCATCGTCTGTCGAACTTTATACTCTAGAACAAACATAAAAGTTGAGACTTTCTCACCTCCAAAACCCTGCTTGCTTTCATAAATGTTGGGTAGCTTCGAATTCATTCTAGTAAGAACACGAGCTGAAATAGTTTTCATTAGTTACATAGATTTTCTAGTTCAAAAATTTTACAGCTTCATAAATTTCTATTTCAAAGTGTCATCTAATGACGGACGCGTCAGTTTTGGTTTGAACCTGAAAGCCATTTGATTAACTAGAGAATGTTAATGTTTTTCAATTATTTCCATCGTTACTTTACTGCCGTAATGACTATAAACCCAGAATTGATTCGAAACCCTCTCCACTGTTTCCAGAACTTCCGTTTTACATATGTGCCCACTTTCAATATTAAAATTAATATTAATTTGCTGAATATATGCTAATGCTTGATATAAATCAAGTTATTTAGTAAAATTAAGTGTAATAAACTGCACTGCATGACCCTTTTTCCTAGTGTCGGTTATTAAGAGTTCTACGAGTTCTACACTTGCTTTTACCTTAACATTTTTAGGGCTCAAGTAATGTCTAGTAATTTTTGTAGCATCATTGAGAGAATTGCATTTAAGGCCACCGCCGTGCCCCTCTGTCACAGATTTTGTGTGCATTTGCGTACTATCTCATAGATTAATTTGATCAAAGCATGATATGTAACCAGTCCATTGCTTTTGAGGTTTCAATTGGTATCATTATCGGCATCTCACTGAAACATCTTGTCCTATTTGCACACTTATATTAAATTGTGTTTGTATATATTCTTATTTAGTTTAGATTTTGTATTCCTGCTTGTAATGAGCATTTGGTTAACACTTAGTTGGACCATTCGCCCTAAATCTTTGCACTAAGCCTTAGATATATATTTTTTCTAAATCAATCTTGAAACAAGGAATTTGCTCCGCAGTTGAACACATTATCTTTTCTCTATCATGTTGAAAAAATTTGAGCATTTTCGCAGGCTTTACTATAATTGTTTAATTTTATTTATTACTTGGCAGTTTTTAACATTTTGTAACAATTTTTTTGTGTTTTCTTGCAGCGGCCGCCCTCCTCGTCTATGTCATTTGGTGGTGGCGGGGGAGGGGGCGAGGACGCCAGGTCCCCCGGCTCTGGGGGCACGCCTGGGCCTCTCTCCCACCAGCCCGCCTCACAACAGTCGGGGGATAACAACTCGGAAGCAGGTAACCCCACGCTAATTACTTCACTTTTTAAACTTAATATTAAATTCAGCTCGAGGTAAACTGCAGGAACTCGAGTTGTACGTCATTGTTCAGCGCCCTATTTCAAATTGTTATCTTTTGTTTCGTTTGAAAATTTGTTGGTATTTTCTACACAGCCGAAAACGTCATATGGCAAGTCAATATCTTTACAATTCCATTACAAATTTTGTTCGAGCTCTTCTAAGCTGCGCCGAGTAAAGGCCTGAAAATCTAGCGGCGACAAGTCTCGTGAGCAAGCGAGAACTTCTCTCAAGTCTCAAGTGTAATTTGATAATCCGTAGACACTCCAACTGCTGCTATCTCTTACGCGCTGCCTCTCATCGCTAAAAAACGACCCTGGCTCACTGGGCCGATGAAAAAAGACTCCTATCCCGATAAAGCTCCTGCAGAAGAAACCTAAGGTTTCATGTTCTAAAGCCTGTCGGATGATTAAGCTTGTCTCCACATTCGTGTTCTGTTTTTCTCCCTATTTTTCTCTTGATTGGAAACGCGCGTACACATGATACTATTGTGTATCGGTTACTGCGACTCTGCTGCGCTTCGACTTGCATGGAGCCAAAGATGAGTTATTTCAGTACCCTGCTGAACGGTTCGTATTGCTTCATGCACTATACAACTAATTATGTACTGCTCGTTGGAACTTCGCACGTTTCATGCAGGAGTTCATCATGCAAGATGAATTCAGATAAATTTGCTCTATTGGAGCAAGCGATGTACTATAATATTTCCTGTTTATGCTACAAACGCGAAGCTCCTTTTAAACGGGAGTGTAGACAGGCGCTGTTTTTTTAATCGAAAAAGTCAATGTTTTGTATTCGTAATTTATTTCCTACGAATAAGTTACGGTAAGTGGACTTCAGCACGGGGTATTGTTTGGTTATTTTTCCTGTCTGCTCATTATCTCGAGGTTGTCTCTAGTCCTGGTCTTGTATTATCTTACCAATTTCGTGTTATCTGTCGTATACCGATCGCGAACTGTTATCCGAGTAAGCAATGTAATAGCCTCGACATAGTGTCAGTAAAATCCGCATCGTTCTTTGGTCATCGGTCTTTTGTTACCCTTGGAGCATGCAGCCTGAACTGTGCTGAACTGGAGACACCTCATATATGGGGTTTTGAGTGTAGGCCTAAATTAAATAAACTTCTTGAGTATTCATCATCACATGTTGGTAATATACCAGTTATTTTCAAGCTACTGCAGTATTTTACTACTTTTTATTTCTATTTTCAAAGCAGATTGCAATAGTACCCGATTTCTTAACGCTTCACATTTTCACAGATTTGATCTTTACAAAAGGGCACACAACAAAAATTTCATGCGCTTTCAATTAGCTGTCGTGCCTAAATCTAGCGACAATTTAATAATCTCACTTTCTTTATTGTTTTTCCCTATCACCATTGTACATGTACAATTTTGCTGTCCACGAAATTTGGGGCTGTAATCAAACTTATATGTGTTTTTGCCCCACAAATCAACATTAAAACCAATGTATCTCTATTAAAACCTGTGACTTTAGTCACTAGTCACGTGACTATTTCTTTATTTTATTTCACGAGGATTTGGATATTTTCTCAATTATTTTGAAGAAGTCTGGTAGAGAATTGCGGAAGAGTTGCGGCGCAAGTTGAGGTGCCCTCAAGTGCCATTAGCCGTGCTTGCTGTTTGTGCAGCGACGGTTAAGCGCAATTAAGCAACGCCAAAAGAAACACGTCCGTCTAGCCCTCCTCTCCCTCTTTCTTCACCTCCTGCTCCTGCTTTTAGCAACATCTTCTCACTACTCTTCCTATTATTAATTGTTGACAGTTGCTTCAACTCGTGCTTCAAGCAACATCTCGCTATTCATCCTACCATCCAACCACTATATATTTAAATGTGCCGGTGTTCCACGAATGAAACTCTCGAAAAAAATGAATTTAGGAATAATTTTGTCATAAAGTAATTTTTTCGCCTCTTTATTCTATGAGTTTGAATTATTCTTGGCAGGACAAATTGCTAATACCAGAATACCGGCACAGATGTTATTTTTTGTGACCCTGACATATGATTTATTTCGATCTTCGAACGCACAACTTATATTCACATTATAGTAATAAAAATTGAACCAGTGGCGAAGCCGTACCACGTGTATTAGGCTGTTTGACGGTAATCCGCGGAGATGTTGATCTCATTTGTGCGCAGCCATAGCTCACATTGCTTGATAGGAAGCCTTTCAGCAGGAATAACATCCTTCCTTAAGTCTCGAGAGACTGACACTGTACAGAGTAGCTACGCAGGGGGCCGTGTGCTATTTAACAACCAACTGCTTCATTCCTATCATAATGAACAGGCTCTTCATATGTACATCGTCCACCACTACACAACCTCTACTGTCTCTCATAAGCGCGTGTGTGCATGGGAAACGCCCGGTTATACATCAATGCTGTTACTATATGTTGAGTTAACGAGTTCCAATACAATCCTTCGTCCGCGGCAGTTGCGAATATTATCTTTGCTTGCTTTACGGTCATCCAGTACGCCAAGTAAGGTCGTTAAAATTCATTTAGTTTGCGAAAGTTTGGATTTTTGTTGTGAATATCGTATTTCCATTTATTACTACCCGAAAATATTTTATAAGGACATGGTTTACTTAAAGAGTTTTTATTCATGGATATTGGGAATACGCACTCTCAATTCCAATCTTGTGGTGAATCCTTCCGATTACCGTTGAATTTTTTCACTGCATGTGACGGTGACTGCGTTGTGTTCTCACCTGCGTTGGCGTCAACGGTTGCGCTGTGCGCACGTAGATAATGCAATATAATTAGTGCGTGTGAATTTCCTTTCCGAAAAGCATTTATAGTGACGCTGAAAATGGGTGCTATCCCTCACTAATTACGCCTGTCACTTGCATAATTAAAAGCTTTCGATTCATGACGTTTCATATATATTTTCGCACTTATAATCAGATTTTATAGGAATAATGCTGTTTGGTTTCTTAGTTCATATCCACAACTGTTGATCAGATTTAATAGAGTGCTTATGGTGCTGCAAATTTTATGCTTGTAATCTTATATACTGAGGTCAAATGTCACTCAATAAACACGCGAACTATTATTACATGGTTTGCAAAATCTGCAACGATCGGGCTCTATGGTAAATTTATGTAAGAATATTTTTGCTTGCACTACAAGCTGCGACTATAATGTGAAGATCGTGTCGAATGAGTTATGCAATAGTGCTGACGTATAATTGGAGACTAATTATCCTCTTGATAATGCCTGGTATGCAGCGCAGGATCATGTTGCATGCCTCATACTTGCCGTGCTCAGTTATTCCTTTATCGGACGTTTGTCTCTTCCCTGCAATGGCTTTGTCTCCCCGAATTCTCGGCTTTGTTCTGCGCGACTCGTCCTTAATTTTCTGCGTAGTTTTAGGTTAGGAGTTCCTTCTCCGTCTTCATGCCTCGGGTGCCCCGGAATTTTCCTGACATTCATTTGGTTGTCGTACGAATATTGTTTTTACTTGTCAGCCATGCCATGGCAGTATGGTAATTTTACCTCCCGAAAGCAGTCCATTGAATTGTATAAAAACAAGTATCATGAGTTGCTTGTCCTTTTCATATTCTTTGCATGTGAATAAGAAGTATCACTTTGTAAGCCGTACGTTCTCCGTGTTGAAACACGTGCAAACCATGCCACTCCTCAAGAAAGGAAGCACAGGGCGACTGAGCACGCCGTGTCGAGGCGATATAGTCCGCTGCATGTCGTAGATAAGCGTCGGGTGCTGCGGGTAAGCTCCTGAAATATGGCCGTGTTCCCTTCCTAAATTTATCCCTCAAAATTTCCCCCTCTAAATTGGCGAGAGTCTTAGCGCCAGTTTATTACCTTGCCATCTAGCGAGCAAACAATAAACTAAGCAAGTGTGGCTGGTAGGCCTTGATATTGCCACCGCTTAAATTGCCGTCTTCAGTCCGTCCCATTGATGTGAATCGCTCTCCTTCCCAACTCGGCATCAACACGCGCATCATCCATTAACTTCCATCTCAACTTCTCTCATGGTACTCTCTAATGCAGCGACGCTAGTATATTAGTCATACTGACACTCGGATTTTTATGTCCTACGTTTTGAACAAGTTTATTGTTTGAGCGTGATTTGTGTTAAGTAATTATCGCTGTCATTTTCTGTGTTCTCGTCGCATGCAATTTTCCATCTAAATTTTTAGGCTATTAGTGCGGGTATACAATTTTTTGGTCTATATTTAACACATCAGGGAAGCGCTATAACGCGGAACTACTGTCTACCGCGTATATTTAACTTCTATTTTACATTTCTATTATTTTTACTGCCTTATTCTGCTGTTTTGATCGAAAACTGTAATATATAGATAATTTTTTTATACGTTTACTACTTTAATGGCCTCATGTATTGCTTGTAAATCCGGTAGGATTTTTTAAGATCAGCAAACCTCGAAATTCTGGACGTGACTGCCTTGTGCCGTGTGCAAAAGTTTTGTCGATTTGTTGATGTGAAAATTTGCAGTAAAAAAAAACTAGAAGAGTTCTATTGCATTCATTAACAGATCGTTCACATGCGTTCATCTGTGCTGAATTGCGATAAAAGATATCGATTAGGAACTGTTTATAGGTTTTTAATTAAAATGCTGACTAATGAATTCTAACCAAATTCTTCTTGTCCGAGTATCGTAAAGCGATCATTACGGATGCTTAACGATACCATCCACAACAGCAGTCGTTGCAACGCCGCAGCCTGATCGTCTATAACTAGCAGATGTTCTGCGCTGCCTTCATTTGCACGGTCGGCATCGCGTAACAGCCCTCGATCATTGGAAAAACTGCTTTAGTATCCAGCAAGAGTTTAATGCGTACAGTTATTTAAAAAAATATGCACGAATTCATAAATTTTTGTTTTGACGTACCTCTCGGAACCTTGCCTTCGTTGCGACTCGTTTGTGGTCTCGCTA